GTTACCAGGTGTTAGTGTAATTATAATCATGAACATGCAACCACCTTGAACACACACGTTCTCCCCTGGGCTTCTGGGCTGCTGTGAGCATGGTTGCTGGTTTAGAGGCTGTGCCTATTCTGCCCTCTTCCTGGCTCCTCTAGTTCTCTCTGCCCGAGTCATGCCTTCCGTAGCCAAGCCTGTATAATTCTACACCAAATATTCCAAATATGGGGACTGAAAGCCTCAGCTGAATGATTTAGAACAGTCACTTAACGTCTCGAAAATTCTGTCTTCCCATGTGAAAAATGTGTGTGATAATCCCGGGAGCCATGTACCTAGTTTGCAGAGCTGTTCAGACCTTAGCCGTTCTCTGCCCTCCCTACCCTTGCGTCCTAGTCCCACCTTTTATTGAAATCAGCACCTGGGTCTGTTTTCGCTGACAGCCATGTGGCCTCAATTTGAGGTGTGTGACATGGGAGGGCCAGGATCTCAACCTCTGCCCCATCTACATTCCATCAGCCCCTCCAGCACCTGTAGCCAACCTCTCCTTTCAAAGCTCAACCCCCTTCCTTGAGGTTTCTTCTCCACCCTGCACTTTCTCTTGCGGATTGATGAGGCAGGTCCAATTTTCACCCGATCTACATAATCCCCTATGAGTACTGGATGGTCCAATCCCTCTGAGGGCTTTTCACTCTTCCAGGTCATTCCTGGTGCCACTCAGGAACGTTCCTTCTCAGCTTCATAAACACTATCCTTTCCCTCCCCAATAATTAGTGGTAAGCCTCATAATTTAGAACTCAGGGTCTGAAATTAGGCAAATATGAGCTAGAATGCTAACTCTGCTACTTCCAGCTGTGTGACATTGGGCAAGTCTAACCTCTAAATTCACTTTCTTCATCTGTCAAATGGGGCAATAATATAATTATTGTGTTACAGCCAATAGCTGTAAGTATGTTGCCCAGCATATAGTAAGTGCTCAAAAAATGTCAGGTAGCTGCTCTCTTATGATTTTCATGATCATCCTCATCTTCATTACCACCATCACTACCAATTTCTACATCTGCATTATCAAAGCTACCCAAGTACAGAGTGTTAAGGTAACTGTATACACAATATCAGACAGTATAGCACCATACAATACTGTATATATCACCTGTTCTCCAGGGCTTTAGGGAAATACTATATCCACCAATTTCTTTTCTTTTTTTTTTTTTTTTGAGATGGAGTCTCACTGTGTTGCCCAGGCCGGACTGCAGTGGTGCAATCTCTGCTCACTACAACCTCCACCTACTGGGTTCAAGCAATTCTCTTGCCTCAGCCTCCCGAGTAGCTGGGATTACAGGCGTCCTCTACCACATCCAGTTAAATTTTTGTATTTTTGGTAGAGACAGGGTTTCACTATGTTGGTCAGGCTGGTATTGAACTCCTGACCTTGTGATCCACCCACTTCGGCCTCCCAAAGTACTGGGATTACAGGCGTGCGCCACCATGCCCGGCCTATATCCACCAAAAATTAATGGAAGTGAACAAGTCACTTAATCTTTCTAGGCCTGCATCTCCTCATCTGAAAAGGAGAGAACGCTGGATGAACTAACAGTTCATGTTTCTGAATGTTATCTCTAAGGATCAGGCTGATAAATCTGTGGTCTTATTTCACCTTCCACTGGGAAGTTGGGACAAATCCTACCGCTTTCCAAGCTGACTCTTTGTTGAAAACTATGCTTCCAATAAAAAAAATTCCCTATTCTCATAAAAGCCAGGTTTGTCTTCATTCTTCAAACCAATTCCTGAGGCTTATCCTGTGAGATAAGGATTTTTATGTCAAAGAAATGAGTCACATCTGAGAAAAGTGAAATAAACTGGATACCTTCCCTTACCTCCAGCAAAGTCAAACAGCTGAAAGTCTGAATATCCAGAGCATTCAGGTAATTAGGAAAAAAAGCAAGGGAGTAAAAACCTGAAATTTCCAGATGTGACATGATCATTGTTTGACAATTTTAAATTAAATTTTAAATTTTTGTTGTAAGAGACAGAAAGGGATATCTTCATTCAGCAACTCTGCAATTAGACTTACTTGAACCAATTTCTTTTCCTGGTTTACACAAAATGACACTTCCTCTAGTACAAGGATTGCAGAAAACCTCAACAGTAAATAGGCAGGCTCACAAGTCTCTAGATTAAAATGCAGTTATAACATTTTCTCAAAATATTCACATGAACTGCGAGCACAAGATTCAACCCGTAAAATACTGAAGGAAAGTCTTTATCCATAAAATTCTCTTAGAAAATGTAGACAGAAAATCTGAATTTATGTAAGGAACTCTGCAACCAAAGAACCACCCTTTTGTCCTGATTTTGAAAATGCTGATTATTTGAGAGCAAAAAATATGTATCCGTAAAGGGGGGTTCCAGTAGGATGAATCTGGTATGGCAATGACCACTTATTGCCTACTCATCTCTTTGCTGCCTTTCCTTTGATGGTGTGACCCATATTTTATTTGCCCTCAGAGAAAGCGCATAAATCCCAATTGGTCCAAGCCATTCACGGTAATTTATGGCCCACTGTAGGATTACTGGCGTGATTCATTCTGTCCAGCAAACCACTGACAAGGGGCAGTCTGTTCTAGAGCTTCTTGGAAAGCTTCTTCACACCTACAAAGACAAGAAAACGGTGTCTTGCTGGTGTCTCTGGAGACTGTCATGCCGAGATGCAATGCCTAAATCTGTGGCAGCCATATTTTGACCACGAGGAGACTACTCTGACATGCTAAGGATGACCACAAACAACTTGGATCCTTGACAAGGCCACCCAGCTCCTCAACTCACTAACCTGGGAATCACCTGTCCTTGTACCTAAAAAAAACATGTTTAAGCTATTTGGATTTGAAATCTCTATTACTTGTAGCCCCAGATATCTAAAGTAATAGAGTTGACCCAGTGGAAAAATATACGAGAAAAACCTAGTTATTATTAGACATGCCTTCCAAAAGTCATCCAGAACAGAATTGTTCTGCTTCACCCATATGACACAATGTAAAGGCAATACGTTTTAAGAATCTGGTAGTTTGATCAACATGGACATCTATCCTTCCTGGAGCTTTTCATAACTTTCCTGGATACTTCCACACTGAACAGACAATGCCTTAATTATTTCCATATGTTGGACTCTACAATCTGTAAAATGGGGATTTAGGAACAAGACTTTCAAACTATATATGCATATGAGAAGGATTTTAAAAAAATAGTAACAACAAAATCTGTTTTATAAAAAATGCCAGGAACATTATTAGAAATAAAAGTTCAAAATCATGACCTGAGTTCCCAAAGTTTAAAAATTCCTCAAGGGTTTAAAGCAAAACTGATGATTAACAGATTTTTATCAATTCTACTCAAGCAGAACAAGAACAAGCATTGGAATTCCTTCTAATTCAAAGCCCACTGAATTAAAAAAAACTCCCCCAAAAGCAAGTCTTATCTATCTGCCAGACATGATTCAGAGAACTCTACACATATTGAAGTATAAACCTGGTTCATTTGTAAAAATGTCCTTTCATAATAATTCTCAAACCTCAAACAGCCTTCCTCTAGTCCATTTTCTGCTGTTGGAACATAGACACTCAAAGATCAGCTTAGTCTTTTAAACTTAGCTTCTATCTCCCTTCCAAACACGTTAACAAAGGGTGTCTGCTGTGTCAGGCACCACCCTAGGGCAACAGAAATACAGCGATGGGGTCCTTGCCTTCATGGAGTTTATGTGTTTTTGTTCTTATGCTGGAAACAGACTCATCAATAAAATTAAACAATAATTACCAGTTGAAAACCCAAGAAATAAAACTAGTGGCTAATGCAATAATGAAATAAATAAGGAGTTGAAGGGAAACCAGAGGTGGGAAAAACAGTTTAACTTGCAATAGAGAAATCAGATATGGCTTCCTTTGATAGGTAACAGACAAGCTACAAAGATAGGGGATTAGGGATAAGAAGGAGCCAGTCAAGGGAGGAGCCATGTGAAGCCAGGAGTCAAAAATAAATGGCTTCTTGGACCAAAGCCACAAAGCCACCTCAGGGATCTCATCTGTAAAATGGTGCAGATCATCACTAACCTGCCCATCTCCCCAGAGCTAGATATGATAATGAACAGGAAAGTCTTTTTTTAAATCAAGGTTAAAAGCCCTACAGTTATGTGCTTTTATTATAAATCTTTCCCTAAAAAAACAGGCGGCTTGAGTTGCTACAAAAATAGACACTCATTGCTGTCATATGTTTCATACTGCATCTCTCAAGCAGTAAAATTAAAACTAGTTTTGACTTGAGAAGTTTTATAGCCTTTGAGATACCTGGAGATCCAAAGGGCTGTGTCTAAACCACAGCTGAGAGTCGCTCTCCTACAGAACTGTGGTAAATGCATGTCATTACTATAATGATCAACACGAATACACACCAAAACTACCTTCCAAATATCACCCACGTGAGACAGACCGATGTCAGCAGGGGATTCCCGGGCAACTCTTTTGATATGGTAGCACATGGCAGCAGAGGCAGCTTGGGACTTGTTGGCCAACAACCAAACTCTGTTTGTGGTATACTCTTTTTATAGCCCTACCTTCTAATACATGGTATTTGCTACACGATTATCTAAAAATTAAATAATCAGCCATAGCACTAGGAGGAAAGTAAAATCCTGGGATTAAAACAGGTGATGTGCATATCCCAGGGCAACACAGTAGCCCAGGTTTATGCTGTAACTGTTTCTCTTTGATTAGCAGAAGCCAGACCTACAGTCTTTAAGACAGATTCGCACTGTAGCAGGGGAAGGATAACTGAAATGATAGAGCCTTGCTGAAATTCTTGTTCTGCCCGTTCTCTCCCAGGACGCAGGTATCATTATTTCCATTTCCAGATGAAAAAACTGAGGTCTTACGAAGTAAAATAACTGGCCCAAAGTACGTGCTGCAGCTAAAGTTTGAACCCAGCTCACCTATTCTAAATCATACACCCCTTTTATCACATTGCCTCACCTGGTTAATCATGTTTGATTCTTCTTTACTCTTTGATTCATCAGGAGTAATCAGATTTCTGAAGGTCCTTCATAAATACTTCAGTCTGCAAAGATGAACAAGAGGAGCCCGAAGAACGTCGTATGAAATGAACACTGAGATTCTGAGATTCTCTCAAAACAGCCTCAGGTGAACCAGGAGAATAGGCAGCTTAATAATCTTTAGTGAGGAGGCTGGGAGGGAGGGGGCCACACGTGTGCCGCATACCTGTACAAGAGTACATATTTCCTGTCTCTTCCATGTCACGTTCTCTTAAGCCCCGAGGCTTCTACACTGGCAATTTGCACTGCACGGAATGCCTTTCTCCTCTTCTCTGCAATGAGATCAGCTGCTCCTCAGTGAAGCTTTCTCAGAAGCCTCCCACCCCCACACCCGCACACACACTGACAGACACACAGGACAGACAGCCCTGTGCCGAATCTCAGCCCTGTGGCAGGCTGTTTCCAGGAGCACTCCTCATTAGTCTGGGGTCTTCTCCAGGCAGGACCTGAGGTTACCTTTCTCTTCCTCCCCAGCGCTTAGCACAGTGCCTCGGTTCAAACATGCACTTACTGAGCCTGCCCATCGCCAAAGGGCCAGGCGCTGGGTTGGACTAGGGCTGGCAGTGGTGAAGAGAAGGCACACTCGAGGGGTTGAGAACAGGGGCTCTGAGTGACCTGACATCTACCTGCTGTGCCATCGTGACCATCTCTTAAACGCTGTACCTCGGTTTCATCAGCTGTAAATGGAAATGACAGTCCTGCTTGCCCCCTCATGGGGCTGTTTTTTAGGATAAAAGGCAGGAGGCAGAGAGGAGTTGGGTGACACTAACTCCTGAGAGGGGGTGAGAAAATGATGTCATTTCAGCCTTTAGCCTTCTAATCCTTTCTGTTCTCTTACCCCGCTTCATTTTTCTTCCAAGCACTTATACTACCCCGCTGACACATTATATATTTGGTCTCGCTTACTGCCTGGCTCTGCCCTACTAGGATTAAGCAGCACGAAGACAGGACTCTTGTTTTCTTCTCTGCTGTGTATTGGCACCAAGGACAACAATGGGCATGTAGAAGGTCTCAAGTATTCCTCAAATGCATGAATGAATGAATGAATGAGAAAACAAATAAATGAATGATGAAACAAACGAATACTGACTGACCAACTTATGAGGCATACATCTGGAAGAGACAACGATGTTAACAAAATGCGAGACTATGAATTGCTATTTTATGGCAATAATTACAGGCATATTTCACTTGTTTTTGCACTGGCCAAAAAGTAAAGGCTGCATATGAATACAATTCTTGAATTTTGGTGTTATGCTATATGGCATAGGAGTCCTCACATCTGCACCCAACATATCCCCAGATATGTAATTAATGCGGCATTAACCCACACGCTCACTTACTGATGGGATTATGCATTCATAGAGTCCTCTAAAAGAGAAGGAATCCTCTCTAAGACAATCTATTGCTCCAAGGGACCAGCTGCTTAGATTCAGGTTTCCTCAAAAGCTAGCCCTTGATTTTGACTGATCCAGGAGCAGAGCCTTCCCATCTGCAATGAAGCATCAGTGGTGGCCCGTATGAGCCCCCATCCATGTGGCAATGTATCAAGTTTCCACCAGCACAGAGAACAGAGGAGGAGGAGGAGGAGGAGGAGGATGAAGGTGCCCAGGAGGTGCCCAGACTCTATAACCCCTCCCTGGACTCATGGCTTCCAAGAGGTTCCTAAAAAGTCTCTTAAGGTATTAGTTTTGTTCTTGCCCTTAACATCCTATAAACACATCTGCTTTTGTTTGCTCTCATCTACCTGGCCATGGACAGAAGAAAACTTGTGCACAAGGTAAAGAGAAGAGAAAGATCGTGATTTTTATCACCATCATAGCTACCGTGAAAGCCCTACATTAAAAAGCATGATTATATGCTGCCCAGTGTATGGACTAAGTTTTTCAAGATTCAGTTTTACAAAAATATATCTTAACGATGCCTCCAAATGAGATTAAAACATTTCAGTCAACAACATACACACAATCTCAGTCCTACCACACTTTCTCTACTATGTTTTCCATAAACTACATGCCCTGGAGTGCTTTTATTTTTCCTGTTTTTAAAAGGTGTTTGTATCCCTTTTTTCTCAATATCCAGTGGTGAGAAAAGTGATTTATCACCTGCCACACTACTGCTACTCAGTATTCCCACCATAAATCGTGCCTTTGTGACAAAACCCTTATCTTAAAAAACAGATAGCATCAACCATTACCGCTTTTTATGTCAATGTCCTTTTATTTCAGAATGACTCTGTTTTCATTATAGATCCTTAAACATATTAGCAGAAGACACATTCGCAGCAAATGCTTTCAGTGAGGGGCAGTCCAGCTGTAGTCACATTCTCACTTCTAACAGGGGTAAAATCCTTAAGTAAACACGTTCCACAGGGGCTGTGCTAAAGTACATTTTTCAAAGACCAATGCCATTTGGTTGAAGTCAGCTCCAGAGGGCCACATACCTTTTCAATCAAAGCCGCAGCTGCTGGGGTGAGAGTCCTGCCCCCAGAGAAGAGCCTGGAGACCTCTACCTTTATCTCCCCTGAGCAGGCGGCCCTCACCTCATCAACAGACTGCTACAAAAGTTGATCTCTAAGACGGCTGCTCAGAACCGGAAGACCAGAAGCGGCAGTGCGACGGAAGCTGGTGTGGTCACAAATGTGTCCTGAGCACTGTTTTGAAAAACACAGGAACATACTTTCCACTCACTCCAATTCTTGGGCTGCAATAGGGCAGGGTAAAGAATGGAACATGGCACTGGGTTTAGAAAAAATTTCCTAGGCAATTTCGTACTTAACTTGAGCAAGGGACAGTATGATACTTTTCAGAAATCTAACCAGGTTTGTGTCAACAAAATGTTGACTCAATGCAAAAAAGGTCTTAAAAATCATTTCATTTGGTATCTTTCTTTTAAAGAAAAGCAAGCTAGAGTGAAGAGGTAGAATTCAGGTGTCCAAAGTCATTCTTGTTTCAAATTCCACGGTAAAAAATTGATAAAAATAAACCATTAAATCTGTTTGCCCAGGCTGTGAATTTGCTAAGTTTTGATCCATTTAATGTGTGGTCACACGGATTGATTTTCTTCCTTTATCTCTCATCCCTCTTTCAGAGATTTCAATAAGCTCTTCCAAAGTAACAAAGTTCATCTGGTTAAATTGCTAGCTGCTAACTCAGTTGTATGGAAATCCAATGCTGTGTTCTATTCTAGTGTACTCTTAAGTTGACATTAAAAAGTCCAGGCTCAATTCATCATAGCACTTAGAAATGTCATTAGCATCCATTGGTTCCTTGGAGTGTATTCCTCTTCCCTGGGCCTCAACACTTCACATGGATGTCAGAAAACCAAGCTATCTGGGGATCTCTGTGTGAACAACTCCCATAAATCACACTGTACATTCCGGCTGTCAGGGTGAATATAACTCAACCACAGTTGGTTGCGTCCTGTTTCCAAGCACACCTGAGTCACTGCAAGCAGTGGGACAGCAGTACAAAAAAGGAGCAACACTGCCCAGAGACAGCAACAAATCAGATACTCAGAGAAATAAGTACATCAAAGCCAAGAGGGATGAGGCAGAGGGAGCAGCTTTACTTTGCAGGAGTGCCACCTCCCTTTTTCAATAAAAAAATGCAGATTCCCTCCTGCATTTGGGAAAACTATGCATATGTGTCATTTGGATTTCAATGGTTTAATGGGAAACTCGGAAAAAAACTGCTGGAATTTTGAAAAGATAGCTCCTGGAGCGGTTAGGCTGGAAACCTGAGATAAAGTGAGAAAATACCACTCAACTCATTAGCAAAAGGGACGTTTTCGGCTCTTGTGTGTCCCACAGTGTGCCGGAATTAAGGCTTATCTCAGAGCCTCTAGTAAGATACACAGGTTGGTTGTTGATAGTTGGCTGGAAACCAGGGGTGATCTGTTGAAATGCTGATCTGTCTTACCTGACCCAAAGGCCTCTCTGAGGTCCTACAGTGACCCTCTCTGACAAGACAAGACCCCAGAACGTATTAAGGTAGGACCCCAGAGCAGATCAACAGCTAGGCAAGATCTCCAGGGCCTTCAGTTGCCAGGGAAAGACACAGTACATACAAAGCACCCAGAATCATGTTTCTGTTACAGACTGCAGCAAGGGACAATCTGCAATGTGGTGTCTGGGAAGACAAGGAGGCAAAGTGAGGGGCAAAGTGTCCTCTAAGATGAAATCTAGCCACAAAGCCAGAGCTATATTTAAGCAGTAGAACTTTCTAGCAGGGGTTAACACACCTCAGTCACCAGGTCATATCTGTCCCACCACCTGTTTTATTAAATAAAGTTTTATTGGAACAAAGCCATGCTCATCCAGTCACCTATTGCTTATAACTGCGTTCACACTACAATGGCAGAGTTGAGGAGCTGCAACAGAGACTGTATGATCCCCAAAGCTGAAAACATTTACCATTTGGCTCTTTACAGGAAAAGTTTGCCAACCCCTGTTCTATGGGAATACCTCAGTGGTAAAAGGTGAGTGTCAGAGATGGTTTTCATTTTTCCAAATCTATGCAAGTCCACCAAAAATACTTTATCAGGCTTTAAAAGTAGCCACACACACAAATACGCGCGCGTGCGCACACACACTGTCCTTACCATAGTCAGCTCTAAACATTAACCCATGCTGTACCACTTTAAAAATATTCACAGCAAATATAGAAGAGTGCTTCTATCCCATTCAAGATAAGCTGGTCAAGTTTGCCTTGCCATAGATGCAAACTTCTAGCTGCCCAGAAAAGCATGCAGCTAGCCTCTTAGTACATTCTCTGGACATGAGTGGTTTGCAGGAGGAGAGAAGGCCTGACATTAAAAGAGCAAACACCCTTTATTCTAACATCACAGAGAAGTAACAGTTGTCAGGATTAATGAGGGGGCTCTAGCCCTGTCCGATATTTGACACTCAGCCTATAAAGGGAAAAAATGTCAAACATCAATTATCTTCTAAAGCTAAAGGCTGTCCTCTAAGTACACTCTAACCCCTCTCTTGGAGCCTCTTGACTGCTAATCTTCTCACCATCAAGAGAACTTGCCCCAGGATAAAACCAAACTGAGTACTTGACCATGCTAATTAGGCAGAGTGAGCTGGTATAGCTGAGAAGTCCTTTTTAGCCACTCCCCTCACAACACTTCTTTAAAAACAGAAATAAAGTCAATGAATTCAGTGGAACAAGCACTTTTTTTTTTGGGTGGGGGAGGGTGGGGAAATGGAGTCTCACTCTGTTGCCCAGGCTGGAGTGCACTGGTACAATCTCAACTCACTGCAACCTCCAACTCCCATGTTTGAGCAATTCTCTTGCCGCAGCCTCCCAAGTAGCTGGGATTACAGGAGCCCACCACCACACCTGGCTAATTTTTGTATTTTTAGCAGAGATGGGGTTTCTCCATATTGGCCAGGCTGGTCTCGAACTCCTGACTTCAAGTGATTTACCCGCCTTGGCCTCCCAAAGTGAGAAGCAGCACTTTTAATACAGCAAAATAGCCAAAAGGCAGAAAACAGTATTGACTCAACCTAAAAGATAAGAAGG